TGGTGATTGTGCACCAGAATGAACGGGGGCCCCACTGCGGCGCCACGAGTCTCTCAGCCACGACCATCAGCGACGTACAGATCGGTATTGCTGGACGCGAGGGACGACGGGCGCGCTGAAAACGGCCGAGATCAGACCTATTTCCTTCTGCCCTTGTCTAAAGCTGGTAAACCGACCAAAGCCGGATCATGAATGGCACCTGAGGTCTGAAACGCCCTCGCCGGCACCCAGACAAGCCTTGATGTAATGTCGACGAAACTTCCAGTATGGGTATCGACCACGCGCCTATGATTCACCTGCCCCAGCCCACGACGCAACGGACCATCGTCCCGCGGTGGCGCCTGTGAATAATGTCGCGGCTAGTACTCAATTTCATCGGCAAACCATCACAACTGGCTGCCGAGTTCAAAACTGACGGCATTCACAAACACGGGACCGCGTCTGAGTCACGAGCAGCTGCGTGCATCGCAACGCGCATCTGAGTTGCGCGTCTCGTGCGTGGCGCGGCGCCATAAGCAAACGTCGCCGACGAATCCTGACCAGCGACGGTCCAGTGTTCGCGGCACGAACAACGCCAACCGTGATTTATTGAATATGTCGTGATCGCTTTCAGCAGGCCCAACATCGCCATCAGTCCTTTCCCGATATCATCGACCAGAGCACGTGCCCTGCAGCTCAGGTCACAGCACTCCCGTGGGACCGGAGTGCGTTGCGGTGGTCCCAGAGCTGCGCGTGCACGACAGAAACAGAAAAAAAAACATACGGGACAGAACAAGAGTTTGGGCGACGACAGACACTCCAGTGAAGCTTGTTGTGTTGTTTCCCGAAAATAGCATTATGCAAGTACGATATAAATCTCCCTCTCCCCTCCCCCTCCCCCCCCTCCCCTCCTCTCCCCCTCCTCTCCTCTCCTCTCTCTCTCTCTCTCTCTCTCTCTCTCTCTCTCTCTCTCTCTCTCTCTCTCTCTCTCTCTCTCTCCTCTCTCTCTCTCTCTCTCTCTCGTTCTCTCTTCTCTCTCTTCTCTCTCTCTCTCTCTCTCTCTCTCTCTCTCTCTTCTCTCTCTCTCTCTCTCCGCTCTCTCTCTCTCTCTCTCTCTCTCTCTCTCTCCTCTCTCTTCTCTCTCTCTCTCTCTCTCTCTCTCTCTCTCTCTCTTCCTCTCTTTCTCTCTCTCTCTCCCTCGCTCTCTCTCTCTCTCCTCTCTCTCTCTTCTCTCTCTCTTCTCTCTCTCTCTCTCTCTCTCTCTCTCTCTCTCTCTCTCTCTCTCTCTCTCTCTCTCTTCTCTCTCTCTCTCTCTCTCTCTCTCTCTCTCTCCTCTCTCTCTCTCTATCTCTCTCTCTCTCTCTCTCTCTCTCTCTCTCTCTCTCTCTCTCTCTCTCTCTCTCTCTCTCTCTCTCTCGCTCTCTCTCTCTCTCTCTCTCTCTTTCTATTCTATAATATACAATACACACGTATCATAAAATCTAAATTTTAGATAAGGTGCATATTACATATATATATATATATATATATATATATATATATATATATATATATATATATATATATATATACGCATGAAAGGCTGGGCCAAGCATGAGCGCTTCGGGACCCCGACACCACGCAATACGCCGACCAGTCGAGAGCCTACGCAAGAGTCGCTCTCCGAGTTCGGAGATATCCCACGGCAGGTTTCATGCCCTGAACACGTTTGGACCGCTTTGAACACGCTGGTCCCCGCGATATGTGCGATAGTCACTCGAGAGACGACAGTCCGGATCTACAGCGCCGAACTAATGACTGAAAGGTGGTAAGCCCGAAACGCGTTGTCAATCTAGGAATCCGGGACAGCAGGTTGCTCTGCGCAGCTTTCGCGTCTGCAGTATGCCAGTGTTACAGACTCGTTGCCAGCATGTACCGCCGCAGAAACACGCGCCAGGGACTGGCCCTGCCAAAAGATGTTTCCGAGGGCATCAGTTGGAATGTAATGCGTGTTTTACGTGATCTTTTCACAAACCGATCGCTTTATCTGCAACGATGTCCGCAAAAATGTCTCCTCACGGTGGATTACCGGGAGCCAGCACTCCAAGCCCGGCGCTGCAGTCCGGTAGTCCAAACCCTACACAGCAGAAGCAGCGACGCAGCTTTTGCTGTGCAGTGGTTGGCGCCCGAAATGCTGCTTTACGACATCATGATATTACCTAGTTCGAGTAGCTCTAAAGATCATTGGAAAACAGGTGGGGAAACGCCAGGAAGGCGTTTCAGTAGAGCCCTGTCCTGTACAACCACCTTAACCATTGTAGTTCCATGTTAAGAATGCGCCCTCGTCATCGCCCGTTCTAAGTTATTGCTACATCCCGGGCCCAGAGAACCGCCCTCCTGACCACGAGTGATGCCCGGAATTGGAGCACCGCGCCGACCGGACACCACCAACCAGCCACCAATCCGAACCCGGACTCCCCCCCCCCCCCCCCGAGCGATTAGCGCGGCATTGTCGCTTACGGCGATCTCCATATCGGGTACCATCGGTGATCAACGGGACAGGAAATGAAGCAACTTGACTGTGGCTCCCGGACGATCATGTTGGCGTTGGCATTCTGCGCGTTTTAAAGCCGAGACCGTAACTTCTTACACGCGATATTCATGGCTTCGGTGAATCATATGCACAGGAATGCTGTCGCGTCTAATTATCTGAAATCTAAAAGCCACCGTGATGTGTACGCTGTTTTGACAATATCGCTTCCATTGCCAGGAACCTAGGGATCTCACACTTCTCGCGCCAGTAGACATGAACCCACACCGGAAACGACTCACGCGGCGCGCTGACGTTTTACAGCCGTTCAGCTGTAAAACGTCAGCTGCAGGGTCCTGTCAGCTGTGGCACCTATCTGTGGCGCCGTCTGTGGGAAGGTAGTTTGGCATGTCCCGACAAAGGGCATACCATCCTTTTCGCAAAGGCACCTTTTCCAATGCACTTATTGTCACATGGTCTGATTGACTCCTCGACATCGCTCCTTAGAACTTTGACATATAAAACAACAAGCTATGACACCGGGCCATAGGTTTTCCATAACAGTAGAACACGCACAGCCAATTTTTTCGGAGAGCCCGATGGCCTGCCGCCCCCCTAAGATGAGACTGAGCTCCCTACGACTTACATCTTACGAACCAATGCTAACCAGGCTTGCATCAACCTTGGATGTGACTTCAATTGGCTTTTTTCGTTCCGTTACCTTGAAAAGGGCTGGCGATGGCCCTTGGGCCCCGGAAGGCTCTGATCAACGCTCCTGACTCTGAGAGAGAGGCCCCCCATATTAGCAAACATGGCCTCTTTGGAGGCAATATAAGTACTTCAAGAGGCGTTCAATTTTACACTTGCTCCTCGGGGACGAGGCTCTGTTTTAAGATGCGCAAGACGTGAGAGCCCTTTTCCTCTTCCAAGGGAGGCCCTTATTTAAGGTGTATGCTAACCCGAGGAGAGGTTCTTCTTGAAGGTCCAGACTCTCAAGACCCTTGACTCTTAAAGATTCTGGACATTTGCCATTTTCGCGATCTTGTATTCAGCTGAGCTGTTGTAATGGCGTCACACAGGAGTGGAGCCACTTTTCCAGGTGCCAAAGGTGACCGTGGCAGCGACTGCCGACTGTTGTTATTGCCGGATTTTTAAAACTCGGCGCCAATCTCCTTCTGATCTTTGTCTGGCCCCCCGCCGACAGATAGCGGAAAGACAGTTCCTACAAAGAGTTGCTTAAAATGCCGAAAAATATTGCCAGCACTCGCTGTTTTCCATCAACGACGGGAAGTTAGGCTCCCAGGATGAGCTGAAAGAGTGGAAAGTCAACATGATGGCACCTAGGGATACCGCAAGGCGCTGTAAGACGTCTAAAGACAATTGCCGCTTTGGCACTCGCCCTAGACTTATTACATCCCTGGAAATAGAAAAACATTAAATCATGACACATTTTGATAGTCAAAAGGACTAAACTGTCCTGTACTAGTACGTTATCAGCATCCTTTTATCATTCGAATGTTTGTGGGTGCCCGTGCGCCATTTGAGAAGCAATGATCCCCTCAAATAGCCTTTCTTCCATTCTTCAATGACCACAAACATCCGAGCAACATTCGGATATTTTCCACCTTATGGCGCCATTGAAGGCCGTTCCTAGCGACTATCAACATGACTTGCAGTACAATGGCGCCTTACTCGCCTGACTCGCGTCGTACGAGGACAAGAGGAACGCGCTGTTCATGGCGCCCAGAAGGGTCGTCGTCGTGTCTCTTGACAACAATGCGAAAATGTGTGTTTGTGACCTTTTCTTCGCAAATTAAAACGGGTTAGCTGGCACGCAATGAGCGTGCTGCCGGTCGTCTTCCACTTGTCAAAGGATTCATGTCCGACCGGAGCCTATTTTTGCTTTCGATGCCTTAAACTAACGATGTTTCGTGAGAGCTGGTCAAAGTTGTATGACCTCCATAGATTTTTGGCGCAGGACTTTAAATTCGAAACCTCTGATTGCTATCCTTCGAGCACCTAATGAAAATAATTTATTATCCACGGCCAAACACGACATTTGTTTTTTAATGGTAGCACAAAGTCCTTCTGAGAAATGACAATACCGAAATCCAGGGACAGCGCCCCGGCATGCCTTTTCATCTGATGAGCCAGCAAAGGCGCGACGCAGACGAGAGGTGGACATTGAGTGGCGGCGTTAAGCGCGACGCTTCAACGAAGGTTGCTGCAGTCCAAAAGAATAGTTCATCTGGACAATGTACGGATTTCCAGTGTTCAGCCAATATGCAACGCCAAAACTGACGCCAATATCAGGGTTGGACTTATGCCCCGAGCGCATTTTTCCCCTTACAGCGCCATATTGTTCGGCAGAGCACCAAACAGTACGCCCAGGCCTCAAACCTATTACCGCCTAGGACGGCCGTCAATTCAGCCCTCGGCATGGTCGAACCCCCGCCTTCTGACCGCCCGAAGAGGGGCACCAAGGCTGGACGTGGACGCAAGAGCGTAGCCTTCATCGCTGCGAAGTCGCTGCACAACTCGACCGTCACAGCGCGGGGGCATCTCCGAGCCAGTCGGTGGCGCCGCCCTATCCTCGTGTTGCGAGTGGGAGTCTGCTGTAGTACATCTCCACTTGTCCTGCACTCTGTGCGCCACCGCTCTCCGACCGCGTCAAAGCCGACGAGCTCGCTCTGCGGCGTCAAACATCTATCAGTCGTATTCCACCCTGGCGGTGGTTGTTGTTCGCCTCTTACGTTCGGTGCGCGCTCGCGTCTCCCGCTGCCCTCCGGTTTTCCGATCCGCCTCCCCCACGCCAGGCCAGCCTCGCGCAACGGCCTCCCGTGGCGCGAGCGGGCCCCAGCCGCACCGCCCTGCCGCCTCCCAGCGCCACACTCATCACCACCCCGCCGCCCAGAGCCCCCCGCCTCCGCTTCCTCACCCACCTCACCGCCCCGCCCCCTCCACGGCAGCCCGACAGCCGGGCGGCACCACCCACTCTTCGACGCCTCCCTGCGCCGCCATCTGCCCTCCATCCATCCACCCCAGCGTCCCTCGGTGCGCCCGGCCGCCGCTCCACGCGGCGTGCTCACCTGCAGGAACACCTGCTCGAGGCCGCAAGTTCGCGCGCCACCCTTCTCCTCGAGGGTGAGGTCGCGCTGCGAACGTCAGCTGCGGCCGCGCCGGCGGGCTGGCGTCGCCGGCCCGACGCGCCCTCGGCCAGCGAGCGGTAGGCGAAAGCACAGCGTCAGCACCTCCACCCACGAGCTCTGCAGCAGGTTCATCTGGTCGTTGAGCTCCAGGTTGCCGAAGCCTGCCGGCGGGAGCGAGGTCAGAGCCACGCACGCGCCGGGGACATGCGAGACGACGCTGGCGGGGGGGGGGGAGGGGGGACGGGTGATACATGCATGATGGAGGGGGGGGGGGTGAGGGGGGGGGGGGTCAAGACCTAACTGACCTGGCGATGGCGTATCAAGCCGCGAGTGATGGTTTGCTTGAATCTCCCTAGCATGTATGCATATCACCAGTGACATTCAGGATAGTACTGAATCTGCGACGGATCACTCTACCCAAAGACGAACCACGCACGGTATAAATCTTACGTGAATAAAAATAAACAACGCATTTCGACCGACTGAAGAGCAAGGAAACTGTCCACGCCCATGTCAGAAAATGCGCAAGTCGTATCAAAAAGCGACGCCATCACCACGAGTTTCGAACCACTGCCATCCACTCTACGCTCCCTACCTCTCCACTATGCCAGCATCCTGCAGTCCAGACCCCTTCCTCCCCTTCCCAAGATCGGGCCCCCTCACCGGGCAGCTGTTTGGCCCATACGATGAAGTTGCCCAGCTCCTTGTCGACAGAGGTAGGCGAGCGCCGAGACGGTGCGGTACTCGAGGTCGGGAGTGATTCGACGGTCGGGCGGCACGCTCGGCACCGGCTGCTCGTACTTCATCAGATTGCCGCAGAAGCGTATGTTGTTGCCGGACCAGCCATAGGGGCCACAAACGGTCAGGTGAGGTCAGCTGAGGTCAGGTGATGTCACACCATTACAGAGCTCGGCTGCTCGCGGTTGCGCCGGGTTGCCGCGGCCGTGTGCCCTTGTGTCGAGTGGTCGGTGCGAGTGGTGAACCCATTCAGCCGCCGAGTAAGGCCAATACACTACGGAAGAAGAGCGGATGATTGATGACACGCGATGAGGCCGGCCCGCGGACAGCACGGCGAGAGATGCGCAGCCGCACAGGCACCGCAGCGCCCGTCGTCGGAACGCCGTGTGAAGCAGCGGTCCGCCAGCCCGCTCGGATCTCACAGGCGCCAGCGACCTTTGCGCGACATCTGTCACCGAGGTCGGTCGTGCGCCACCGTATTATTACGCCAATTACCAATTACCCCCACCGTGCGCCACACCGCAAAATTGCCGGTAAAATGAGTCAAAAGGGGAGGCCGCTGATCACACTACTTGCTCCGCCTTGTAGTGCATAGGAGACGCTTACTGAAGATGACACGCTCTCACATGCTTGCAAACATCCGGAATTTCAGGCTGTTTCAAATGTACGCTATTTGCGTGGGAATTAACACATGCATGCAGAAAACCCGCGTTTGGACTAATTCGGATGCGACTGATTAAACAAAGGCATACAAAAGTGCGCACCAGCACACCATAGATATGCGGTCTGCGCGTCACATCTTCCCTGGCAGCCACACGCTGGCAGCCAGCGTCACACTTCCCTGGCAGCCACACACAATGACCAATGGCACATGACGACTGATCACGAACGCCATTAACAAACGCTCGTCGGGTGCCAGCAAAGGCATCAACTGCTCAACTATCGATTGCGTGCTGAGGTACTGTCAGTCGGCTGCAGACGCCGAGCAGGACCGGGGCCGTCTCACCCTTCTAGCGACGGGCTTTTTCACCTGCACCGAGTGCATTTGATACGGTGGCTCTGGATTCCTCCTGTACTTTTGCCGGCCGCCGCGCACGCGGTCCAGGTCGTACCCCCCCTCCTTCAGCATGCCGACTTTGAGACACTTCTGGAACCTGCCAGAGGGGGCGCGCGGTAAGCGGAGGTGTCGCCGCGCGCGGCCACCGAGCCGGTGGCGCTCGGCTCGGTCCGCCTGACGGGGCAAGCTCGGCAGCTCCCTGGACGTAACCAGAGCGACACTCAGGCCCGGGACGGCACGCGCCCGGCGGGTCCGGAACGTACCAGAGCGACCTCGGCCCGGGACGGCACGCGCTCAGCGGCTCCCTGACCGTTACCAGAGGCGAAACTTCCGGCCCCGGGACGGCACGCGCTCGGGCGGGTCCGGGACGTACCAGAGCGACACTCCGGCCCGGACGGCACGCGCTCGGCGGCTCCCTGAGTACCAGAGCGACACTCCGGCCCGGGACGGCACGCGTCAGCGGCTCCTGACTACCAGAGCGACACTCCAGCCCGGGACGGCACGCGCGGGGTCCGGGACGTACCAGAGCGACACTCCGGCCTGGGACGGTACGCACTCGGCACGTCTGGGGTTCGCCAGACGACGCAGACGTCACAGTGTGTGAGAGGCCGACCAGCCAGCGCCTGCCACGGCTTCGAATCCGCAGGTCAACGGTCACTTTGGCTCGCAAACGTCGCATCCTCAAAGAAGGACCAGACCAGACCAGACAGCCAGACAGACCAGACCAGACCCAGACTCAGATCCAAACCCACACCTACACCCATGCGCACACCCACCCACCGAACCACCCACACGCACACACGCACACACACGCGGGCGCGCACAGCTGGTGACAGTGAAACAGTTTAGGAGCGTTCGGCCGCGGTCCTACCCACAATACTGTTACGTAAGGCGCCGCGTGCATCGCTCAGTCACTTGGCGGCCGCATGGCTGGGGCTCGCCGGCGCTGACCGAGTCAGACTGCTCGCGCCGACGTCTAGCGCTCCACAATACAGCTGCACGACGACCTTCGCTACGACTCAACATCCGTCCAATCGTGGCCCGGCCACTTGCGGGGTGTTACATGCAGGAGGCTTCAGCGCCAACGACCAGCTACATCAAATCCCATCCAACCGTGAACAAAGACATCCAAGCACGCAACGCACAGCAAAGCCTTTCCAGCAAAGCGCGGACACAAGCCCAGCTTCATCAAACCCCAGTGCACATGGGAAGAACAGCGAGTCCTGACCAGCTCCTACCGAACGGAGCCGCCCACATCACGTACATAGCCAAACGAAAGTACAACGCGGAAGTTCACGCCCGCAGCCCGGGACAAACTCTGGCAGTCGCGTCACTGCAGCGGAGCTCCCGTGAGCTCCACTGAAGTCATTTCCTGCAGAAACCGCGCGGCAGGCTGGAGTCCCACGGAACAAGTGCCTGACCTCCCCCCCCCGCGTCCCGGCGGGATGCGGCAGACAGCGTCCTGGGGAGGGGGGGGGGGGGCAGTGACGTGCGTGACGCGTCACCGTCACCACATCCACTGAGCCTCCTGTCATCGCCGACCCGACCCAGATCGACTCGACCTCGACCGACGCGACCCGGATCGTCGCGTCCTCGCGGGGACAGCAGGCGCTATATCCGTCAACAGTGAGTCACCAGCCGCCGGTCGGGCTTACCGTTACCACCCGCCGGAAGGAGACGCGCGCCACCGTTCCGCTCATGCGGCCACGAGAGGTCGTCCTGCTCCACGCATTCCCAGGCGTTACTTAATAAGCCGGATCCCCGCTGGCAGTGACTAATGGCTCGGTCTGTCGCGCCTACGAACGTCATCGCCCGGCAGCAAAACCAGAAGCTCATGAACGCTAGTTGAACAAAATTGTTGGACAGCAGTCTGCAGCTACTCATGCCCGGGACGAGATGCTGCCAGTCGAAGGCGAGGCGCATCTGAGACATGTCTCAGCATCACCGAGAGCACTGAGAGCGCAATGGCAATGCGAAATTACCAACTAGATCGGAGCCGGTACGACGCGCTGAAGACAAAACGAAACTAAGACGCCTGTGTTTGACAAAGAAGACAAAACTGGTGTTTGGGATGTTTGAAGCCAATCATGTCGACAGTGGATGAACGAGGATAATTGCAGAACACCGTGTCCACACCTGAATGCTAACTTGATTGATCCATGATACACGACTGATCTAGCGATCGACAGCAGCCGTCGCACTTAAATCAAATCCTGGCACTGCGCCGCAACCATTTAACCGGCCGCGCGTCCATAACGATACAGCGCAGCGCCCCATGCGCTCCACGCCGACTGATTCGTCACCAACCAGCTGACATTGCCACAGCAGTTTCCTGGCGACGGCGCAGGCCGTTGCGCGCCACCCCTGCCCGAGCTCCGCCCTGGTCGGAGGCGACGACTGGCGCCGCCTGGACGCACGCCTCTGCCGCCGCCAGCTGCGCGGTCCGTCGTCGGCGCCTCCGGCCGATACATCGCAACGGGCGTCCGCGGGCGCCGCGGCCTGGGAGCTGCGCCCGCTGCCTGCCGCCCCTGACCAGCAGACCGTTCCAGCAGCGACCTCCGAGCGGTGCCGAGCCGTTAGCGTCGCCCGCACGTCGCTCCCTCCACGGGTCCGACCGCCGGCTGAACGACGGCGCAGCAGTGACGCGCCGGGCTCTCAGCACGGGCGCTCGCCACCCAGCGCGCGTCAGCGTCGCCGATCAGCCCGGGCAGACACCGGCTGTCCACCCTCGCCTTGCGGCGATCTGCGACACAACCCCGCGACATGGTGCCCAGGTCGAGCGCGGCGGGCGGGACAGGTGCGCGGGCGGCCCCCGCCAGCGCCGGGGCAGCCGACGTGATGACGCCGACCGGCGCGTGATGGGTGGTGTGGCGCCGTCCTGCAGGCGCGACGCGCCAAGGTGGACGCCCCTGGAGACCGCGCCGGCGGGCAAATGTGAGGGGGGGCGAGGGCGGGAGGGGGGCCAGCTACGGAGTGTTGAACACGAGCACAGATGCGTGGGCTCCGAACTGGAGCAGTGAGGGGGAAACTCGGGCCGCCTGCCTAATGTGGGCCCAGTAGCCACCGCGGCCCAATTAAATATTAATAGGACTGCAGCAGGTAGCCAGACTCTTGGACAGCCTCTCCGTTGCGGGGCCGAGCCAGGCCACTCCAACCCGTAGGGCCGAGTGGAGGTCGGACGGGGAGCGGCGGAGGAACTGCACCTTCCACACCCGTTGTAATGAATCCACAGCCCATCCTATCAGCTCAATCTCTCGTCGCGGGACCGACTGCACGAACAGTCACTACACGCAGCTCAATCTGCCGTCAAGTGGGCCGACTGCATGAACAGTCATTACACACAGTTCAATTTGTCGTCAAGCGGACCGACTGCACGAACAGTCATTACACGCAGCTCAATCTGTCGTCAAGCGGACCGACTACACGGACAGCCACTACACGCAGCTCAATCTGCCAAGTGGACCGACTGCACGAACAGTCACTACACACTGCTCAATCTGTCGTCAAGCGGAACGACTGCACGAACAGTCGCTACACACAGCTCAATCTGTCGTCAAGCGAACCGGCTGCACGAACGGTCACTACACACTGCTCAATCTGTCGTCAAGCGGAACGACTACACGAAGTCACCACACACGGTTCAATCTGCCATCAAGCGGACCGACTACACGAGCAGTCACTACACACTGCTCAATCTGTCGTCAAGCGAACCGACTACACGAACAGTCACTACACACTGCTCAACCTGTCGTCAAGCGGAACGACTACACGAAATCACTACACACAGTTCAATCTGCCGTCGAGCGGACCGACTGCACGAACAGTCACCACACGTGCCCGCAGGCTCACGCTCCACTCATCCACACACGCACGCACACACCCGGGTAAGCGGCCGCAACCACACTCGCCACGCGCCGCCGCGCACACACCCCGTTCGCACGAACACACCAATCACGCAGCCTGCCCGCCCTGGCCAGGACGAGGCGCGTGGCCCGCTGCGACGTCCGGCACATACCTGCACGCCTGGCAGGCCTTCCGCCTGCGCTTGTTGATCTCGCAGTCGTTGTTGGCCGGACACGTGTACTCAATGTTACCTGCAACGGGCGCGGCACCGCCGGGCGTCAGCGAGAGCCCAGCTCCGGCCGCCGCTGGCCGACACATTGCCAGCCCGGCAGAGGGGCGCTGTCAGGAGCCGCTCAATGCCGGCGTGTCGACACGGAGCAGCATCGGCGCTGACGTGCGCCACGGCCGCAGATGGGACTGGCGCGCGGGAACGACGGAGGTGCTCCCCCAGGTCAGCAGAACCTCCACAGCACAACGTCAGGTGTCCGGGCGGGCACAGGGAAGCTCGCCGAAAACTTCCGCAGGCTTCTACACGGTATACGCTGCTGGTGCGCACGGATAGCATGGGGAAAAGCCTACACAAACGGAACAGTGGATCTCTCAACACACGCACACCTGGCTGCCTGCGCCAACCACTCACGATGCTGAGCTGTCCGTGGTCGAAGACCCAAGCAAAACTTCTATCAACCTAGAAACAGATCATCGGACATTCCGACGGCCCGGGTTTATCACCACCAGCTGCACGCCGCGCGCTCACCCTGTATGGTGCGCTTGAAGAAGGCCTTGCAGGCCTCGCAGCTGGCGACGCCGTAGTGGAAGCCGCTGGCCACGTCACCGCACACCAGGCAGGTCCGCTTGGGCGCGTCGTCCTCGCCGCGCACCTGGGCGGAGCGGAGCGCACTCAGTGTTGGCGCGGGCAGGCGACGACAGCAGGGCGGCATCGACGCACAATACAGCGCCGATCAATGGCGCCTCGCGCGGCGACCAGCCGGGAAAAAGAGACGCAAGAAGCCGGTCGATAGGTTGTGATTCAGCAGGGATCTGGTAGACCACGCGCAAGTGGCTTCCCAAAGTCGTCTAGGGCATGTTCGACGCATGTGGCAGTGCTTGCGGGATTTCGCCCCAATCGTAGCAAAAACGCAACGCGCGATCAATCGCGAGCCTCGACCTAGCCAGAGCCCAGCACGTACCACCGCGCCAAGCACCGCTCACATGAACACACAAACAATACCGAGCCAGTATCAAACGCTGCTATCACGGCTGCCGCGCAGGCGGTGTCGGCCGTGCTCCACGAATCTCCAGCAGAGTCGCCCTCGACACGGTTCCAGCGGCTGGTTCGAAGCACCGGGCCGGAGCACCGGCTCAGAGCTCCGCACCGGAGCACCGGGCCGACGCCGCCGGACGACTTCGCGCGAGCTCGCACCTCGAACTGCACGCCCTCGCTCAGCGTGGTGGACGAGCAGAACTGGCGGTCAGGCGAGCAGGGCGACTCGTACAGCGCGCCCTTGTCGAGGCCGCTGGGCGACGACGGCGGCCGGCTGTCGCACAGCTCGCCGGCCGCCGGGTAGCTGGTGCCGCCGCCGTCCGGCACGTCCATCACCTCGAACTCGGCCCGGTCAGAGAACTCCACCTGGCCGGGGCAGACGGCGGGGGTTAGCAGCGGCTCAGACGGGGCACAGGACGCCGGAGACGGGACTGGGGGGAGAGGGGGGGGGGGGGCGCCGATGGAGGCCGAGACAGGGCAGACGGCGTGGTTAGCAGCCGCTGAGGGGGAGCGCGGGCCACCGGAGACACGGGAATGGGGGGGGGGGGAGGCAACGAGGCCCAGGCGGGTACTGGGGGGGAGAGGGGCGGGGGGGGGGCGCCGATGGAGGCCGAGACGGGGCAGACGGCGTGGTTAGCAGCCGCTGAGGGGGGAGCGGGGCCACCGGAGACACGGGAATGGGGGGGGGGGGGGAGGCAACGAGGCCCAGGCGGGTACGCGCCACCTCGGAGACAGGGCTGTCAACTGCCGAGCGGGTCGCCACGCTGCACTGAGAGCATCACCACAAGCGTTCACAACGCGGCCAAACACAAACGTCACCGGGGATAGCATAGCAACAAGGGGCGTCAGCTGAGTCCTTCGCAACAACACTTGCGCGGGGAAGTCACCACAGGCGGGTTACTGAACGTCGCTCCAGCTGCGATACAGCCCCGCCCCCCCCCCCCCCCCCATTTCGCCTGGACAACACTAGTTCAACCTCCTTCCATTTCAGAGGCTCCCTCCACGGGACAGGACTAAAGGCATAGCCGGGGCGCAGATAGCACGACAGCTGCAAGCCACACAGCGCGAACCGTGCGCGGGAGAGGACCACAGGCCGCAACTGCAGCTGAAACAGCGCAAGCATCCCGGGCCACCCGTCACAGGTCGCTGACTGCGTCCGGCGCCACCGAACACCGGTGGCGCGCTGCCGACTTCACTTTATCACAAGCCCACCACGTCGCGTTGTGCCGCCGCCACCTTCCCGGTCAGCTGGAGGGCGCCGCCCAGCCACACTGCAGCAAACAGCACCGAACGGCGCTGGGGCCGCACGGCCGGCCGTGAGCTGCCGGCGCCGGAGCGCGGGCTCCCCGCCGGCCACCCGCCTGTCGGCGACGGCCAGCGTCCGCCCGGGATCAGCCACCGACGCGTCATCACACCAGCGCCAGCGGAGTACGCCGGCACGCGTCACCAGTCCAGACCGTCACGTGACGAACCGATCAATGGGTCCTGCGGCTTGGCGCGTGCGGTTTGTCACTGCCCTCCAAAAATAGCATGTGTCCTGCTTCAGACAGTCTGTTATGGGCTCGAGTGGTAGTTACCAGCCACGACGTCATTAAGTTAATTAATAAGGGGCATTAAGGGGACGGAATACCCGCGCTCACTCCGCTCACCATCACACCAGGCTTCTGTGCTCAACAGGAGCCGGCATGCCACCCAAGGGCGACCAACAATCGGCCGCAGTTGTGGCACGGACGAGCGGGCGAGAATAGGGCGGCAGCAACGAAAACGGCGGCTAATGGTCTGAAATGCATATACCGCTGAATCTAAACAACAATTCGCAAAAAGATAAGGGCAAAATTTGCGCATGCTTGACGAAGCTTTCAACACAGCCTCAGAGAACGCCCTGGATATGCTTTTTGGCAGAGCTTTTGACAGCAGTCCGTGAAAACTGTAGCCTGTCACTCACATACGTTAACACTTAATCACAGGCCGAGTGTGAGTCCCACGCACTTAAAACCTCAAGCCCCATGACATTACGGCCCCAGAGCAAAATCCAATATTCGTAGCTCAGTTCCTCTCCATTTATCACATTATGTAACCATCTCCAGTATGGAGTTCAGGAGACAAAGGTATTGCCGGGGGTGCGCGCGGATAATTCCCGGTTTTTGGTGCTTCCCATGGACGCATTCCACAACCTGTACATGGTTACGTGAATGGAAGCCTTCATATTCTACCCGACGAGCGACTTCTGGGGCATACGGGTCATTGGCTTCTCTGATGTGGAGTTACGGCCACTTTACGACACACTTTTCGCCTTGAGCGTTCGCAACATGCTCAAGACGGTAGCGACAATGCGAACACAGTTTTAGCATTGTTCAAGTCCACTGTCGATGTCGACGTCATTGAGGCTTTACGACGCACGCAGCTGCTGAGGCTATGTCGCATCACTGCCTCTCACCCTGGCAGGAAGGACGGGCACCGCGGGGAATTGAACCCCGTACCTCTGGTTTCCCAGACGCGCAGTAGTTCACGAAGACGCGTTATCCACTACGCCACCGGCACCCACACGTCCACTACGTGGCTGGTCGCAAATACCTACCGACTGCCAGCAGCAATTTACAAACTATTACCGCCAGCAGTTAGCCGAATCTGTCCAAGTTACTCTAAATATTGATTCGGATCCCAACCTTAATGCGGCCCGATCGTTGACCATAATCTGCCAATATGGCCCGACCTCCGCCCATCGCGACACACGAACCGAGTGGCGATGTGCAGTACGCCACGAACTACGCGGAGGACACTTATCCGAATCGGTCGTAGGCTGTCCAAGTGTATTCATGTGACCAACGCACCCCGATCTGCATATTCATCCGCATGAACCGGCTTGACCTCGCGTGCTGCGTCAGCATGAGGAGCTACATGACAGCAGCTCACACCTGGTGGATCTCGTTCAACCGCATGGCGCTCCATCCCCAGGCTCTGCTTCAGGTTCTCAATGGCTGGGAGCACGCTTCAGTCAAAGGCCTTCGTCTGGCGAGGGGCCGGGCGGCCAGGGGCCGAGGCCGGGCCACGGGGTGACCCCGCAGCTGCCCCACTCGGCGCCGCTGACTCAGCGGCAGACGGGCTGACCGCACCTGTAACGTCGGCACGTTCGCCGCCGGACCCGTCGCGTCTCGCGGCACGCTCGCGGCCCGTCGGTCGCGTCACGCACCGCGCTCGCGGCGGTACACGTGCGCGCGCGGCGTAACCCAACGCTGGACGGCGGCACCGGCCGTTCTCCCACGATCGGGCGTTCACGCCGCGCCGCGTTCGTCTCCCCAGCGCGATTTTCTGTTATTTGATCGTCGGGTGGTGGGAACGGACGAGGCGCACGGTTGCTGAGCGCCCAGCGCCTCAGCCCAGTTCCAATTCAGCGACTGCCGTGATTAACTTCTATAGCTGTCCGTGGTAGAGACGCCGGTCGGTCTGGGGAACGGGCGATGAAACTGCTCCCGGTTACGAAGGGTGCTGGACCGCGCGCGAGCCGCCGCAAGCGGCAAGACCAGTTCCCGCCGAACGCCACTGACAGACCACGAGCGACCTTGGCCCCCACCGGAATCGATGACCGTACATCCCTCTGAGGTGTGGGGGGGGGGGGAGGGGAGAGCGCGATTTTTACCTCAGTCAGTCCTTTTCATACACCGCCAAGGGCTAACGTCATCAATTTCTAGTGAATGAGGCGCGGCGGGCGGGGCTGCCTGCCTGCGCCGCCGCTTCCGCCGCCGCGATCGGTGCGGCTGTTCAGCGGCGCGGCTCCACACGCGCGTGCCGCACCTCGTGACGTCTGTGGGCCGTACATTACGCGCCGCATGCCACCGCCGCCGCCCGTGACACATCGCGGCACGAAGCTCTTAGACACCGGGTCCACTGCAGGGTCCCCGCCAGGCCTCATTACTAGAACACCGCTGGAATGCGGTCGGCACACAGTGCTAGGCCGTTCCGTGAGCGGTGTGATAAGGCGCGCAAAACCTCTTCCGAACCAGCTGCGATGGCGCGCTATCGGCCACAGTGCTGCAATACGAAACCTGCGAAATCTTCTTCACGAGTGTCGAAGGTAACATTTTGCGGCGTGGTGACCACCAATCGGTCATACATCGCACTGCCCCCCCCCCCCAAAAAAAAAATAGCAGGAGTAACCGACTAGCTAGGTGTGCGAATCACATACGCTGACACACCCGCATTAAACGAGGGCACTAACGCCGCTGCAGACAAGCAACGACCGCCACTCCGAATGGTACGATCTCAGTGATTAAGTTCTATTCAGTCCTGCCGGGCTCGCTCGTCTGGCGTGATGTCAACCCTAGCCGAGTGACATCACGCCTATCCCGCAACACGCGACCACAAATACATCGATACCGTGTCACACGATAACGCGTGAGCCCGGCGCCGGCAGACGAGTCCGTCTCCGCCACGACGAGAAGGGCGTGGCGGAGCCAGCGCGGACCACGAGGCAGCCAACAGCAGACCACCTCATCCGACCGCAGCACACCGCCAGCGCCATGGACAACCCGCCCGCGCTCATCGCGGCCATCTGGCACTGCACGGCCGTGGGCTTGTTGAGTCGCCGTTGCCACTTGCGCCGCAAATGGGCCGTGACGGCCTGGTTCAGCTCCTGACAGTCAAGTGTGAACGGCGGTAGCGACTTGTTTGCGTCCCGCGTATCGCGGCGGCGCCGGCTCGGTCGCCGGCTGACGAAAATGACCCGGCATCCAGCATATCGCTCTCATCTTCCGCGGACGCTGCAACGGCTGTCAGGCTGCTGAATGGTATTCACCGCACGGCATACGGGTTACTCTTGCGATAGGACGGAGTCTTGCTAGAGGCGGCACGCTCCAGCAGGTAACCGTGGACGCTCCACAAGCCGTCAGGCTGCTGAATGGTATTCACCGCACGGCGTACAGGTTACTCTTGCGATAGGACGGAGTCTTGCTAGAGGCGGCACGCTCCAGCAGGTAACCGTGGACGCTCCACAGGCTGTCAGGCTGCCGAATGCTATTTACCGCGCGGTGTATGAGTTACTCTTGCGATAGGACGGAGTCTTGCTAGAGGCGGTGCGCTCCAGCAGGTAACCGTGGACGCTCCACAGGCTGTCAGACTGCCGAATGCTATTCACCGCGCGGCGTATGAGTTACTCTTGCGATAGGACGGAGTCTTGCTAGAGGCGGCACGCTCCAGCGGGTAACCGTGGGCGCTCCAAAGGCTGTCAGACTGCCGAATGCTATTCACCGCGCGGCGTATGAGTTACTCTTGCGATAGGACGGAGTCTTGCTAGAGGCGGCGCGCTCCAGCAGGTAAAACGTACATCCGGATATGCACACAATGATCAGGGCGTGAACGCAGCTAGAATA